AAAACACACCCACACACCAATCCCTCTATTTTCTTCATTAAACTCTGATGAACTGATTTGGTTCCAGAGGAGGATGAAAGCAGTGATCATAATTGTCTTCAAACTGGGTAAGGCTGTGAACAGATAAGGGGATCTTTGCTTTTTTCTCTGTTTTCCTTTCCTTTCTTTCTTTCTTTTTTCTTTTTTAAAAATTTGCCATAGGGTGCATGCACTCAATGGAGAGAGAGACAGAGAAAGAGGGAAAATGAGAAATCACCCCCAAGGAAGATGGCCATATCGCAATTCCTTCCCCTCCATTCTCCTCGTGGGGTTTTGGGTATGCACATGTACCTCGTGTGTTTTTCAAGCTGCTGGATTGGGGACTCGAATCATGGAGTTGGTCATGTGGGACCCAGTTGCTTTAACCCCCATATTACTGGCTGTTCCTGCCTCCTTTTTATTTTTAATTTAAATAATTATTTATTTAATTTAATTTATTATTATTTTTAATTTGCTATAGGGGACATGCATTCACAAAGGGAGAAAGCAAGTTGCCAGGTCTGGGACTCGAACCATGGTCAACCATGTGGGAGTCTAGTCACTTAATGACCATGCCCCCTGCTGGCTCCTCCCTCCGCTTTTCTTTTAGTTACTTTCTTTTGCCTAGAAATAAAACTGTAGCAACATGTTACTCTACGGAGTTACTAAATATGCTAGTGATGGGACCAGCAGTTAGCGTGGTGGTTAAGGGCACTGGACTCCCACATGGCCAACAGCAGTTTGAGTCCCCGGACCTGACGGCCTGATTTTTCCGCTTTCCTCCCTCTCTGTCTCTCTTACTCACTCTGTTTCTCTCTGGTCAAATTAAAATAAGTAAATAAATAAAGTTAAATAAAATAATTTAAAAGAAAAAGAAAAGATATGCTAGAAACACATTATCATTAAATAAAGTTAGCTCAAGTATTTCAAATGATTTTTCCTATCCATTTCTTATCTTGAAAAAAAAAAAAGCTCACTAAATGACAAACAGGAAAAGTTACTTGAGGCGCTAAATCTTTTTTGTTTTAAAGATTTATTCGATTTTACTTATTCATTCACTCATTTTAAAAATTTGACCAGAGAGAAACACAGAGAGAGACAGGGGGGCTCTAAATCTAAAACTGTGGTAGATATTCAGCAAATACTAATGGGTAAATAACTTAAGTTTTTGGCAGTTATTGGCATAATAAAGGAAATGTTTTCCTA